AATTTGCTGTGTCTGTTGTGCTTTTAAATTGTTTGTATTGTCTGTTTGTCTTTGTCTTACTTTTGTAATTTCCCCTCCCTTGGCTTTGTTCAGCTGTCCTGAGTCTCTTCGGGGAATAGGGCGGCCTACAAATTGAATAAAATCCAAATCCATATCCAAATATCTCTGTCCTCCTAGGAAAAGCCAATTTGTCACTTCTCCATTCAGTCAGGCTTCTTTCTGTATTGTAAAAGAATGCAGGCTTGAACTTCAAAGAGATGTAGATGATCAGCCAGCACTTCATTACATTTTCTAATGCTTAATTTTCTAATCAAAAATTAAATCAAATGGACTAACCAATTGATGGGTATTTTACTTGCTCATATATGAAAGAGACAAGCACTTTCATTCTACTTGGAAGAATGAAAATTGATAGGAGAGAATGTCTTCTCCCCCTGCCCAATTTCACCAATATCTCCCTCAGTGGATTCAGATATTATACGAGAAAAGGGGGATACACATTAGTATTTGATCAGCATTTTCTGAACAAAGCACCCCTGAGAGGAAATCTGAATCACATTCAGCAAGCTTGAAGAACTAACAACTTACCTTTGCAAATTCAATATTTTCTGCGTCGATTCCACTTATTGTACAAAGCTGTGAAAAATATATATCAAATGAGTTTATTTCCAAAAGGTAATGTATATGAAGTTTCATATATTCTTGCTGGCTGTTTCCCAATTTATGTGCAAAAATTGACATCTCAACTATTATTTTTAAATAATCTAAAAAAAAAACCACTGGTAGTTCACTAGTAGTCTCCAAACAAAAGCTAGATGTCATCTTTTATAGATGCTTTTTATACATATTTTATTACTTTTAATAGAAAAAAAGCAAAAGGAACAAAACACAAAAATATATACATTGTTCAAACAAACAAAACATAAGTGCTTAAAGAACAGAGATTCTGAATTGAGCAGGGGGTTGGATGGCTTCTCAATCCTTCTCACTCTGACTTACATTTCTATCAGGAATGTCTTAAAAGTAAGCAAAATTGTATTTAACTTATATACCTTATTAAAGAGTTGAACAATTTGAGATAATAGCTCTGCTACTTCGCTCAAATTCTGTCATTTAGCTCTTGCTATCCTACCACCTTTGATATTACAATCTATAGCTAAAACTCTGTCTGTAATCCTCAAGTAGCCCAGAGGCTACATCATAGCGCAAACATTTTTTAATCAAGGTATCTCAAATCCACTGACTTAAAGAATTTGTGCAAAATTCAGGACCCATTATTCCCTTGTATTTGAAATTCAAGGATCGTCACAATGCTTGTATTTACAAAGTTGTAATCACTGTAGTGTCGTCATGATTAGCTGTAATCGTGTGATTGTGATTTCCAAAGTTCCCTGCTAGTTCTCTCAAGCAAAATCAATGGGGTAGCCAGCAGGAAGTTGGAAGTTGTTCCTGTTCCCATTGCTTTTTTGTCTGCCAAAAGTCATTCTATTCTTCTGTTTAGGTAAGGAAATGTCTCTAAAAGGATGACCCATTGAACATTTAACTATTAGTGCCTAAAGCGTAACAGATATGGTTCTTTGTAATCAAATTATAATGTGTGAATATGGAATAAAATATGTACTGAAAGCAATTTGGAGCACAAAGTTTTTTCTCATAGACAATAGCAATTGGAACTTTCATTCCTCAATTCATTTATAGTAAGTCTTTAGCTTTATCTAATGCAGATAGAAATGAGACACTATTTATATGGTTGTCTAAGCAATAATCCTCAGCTGAATTTCTCCATCTACTTAGGCTACAATTGCCATTAGCACTGGTCATTGGGGCTGCTGAGAGTTGCAATTTAAAACATCAGGAAAATTAAGCTGAAAAAGTGTTTATTTAGGTTTGCTTTCTTAAATTATGTAAAGTAGAAGTGATCACTCTATTGTACTCTAAAAACCTAATTTATATCTTTTTAGGAACAAATTAAGCAGGTATTTTGTAAGCCCAAAGAAAACTGGTTCATACATTGTACTGGAATATAGTTTAATCAGTGTTTATGAATAATCCACATTTGACTTTACAGTACAGGCTAAGTCAGAAGCAAACTGCATATTATATAACTCTTGCTACACTATGGCAGAGCATAATGTTTGCATTTGCCAATAAACCCCAAAACATCCTTTTAATGATCACTATGAATACTGTTTAGAAGCTTTTAGTTTCTCAAAAGAAAGTAACTATGAATTCTGTGAAAGGGATATTTATATAAATAAGGTGAATTTACCTTATCTTTTAATTCATCAACACTGCTGCTCTCTAAAACTACTTCTTGAAAAGGATCCAGTTTCATCTCTGATGGCCTCCATCTTCTTGACAGAACAGCAAGTTGTGACATAGATTTCATTTTTTCTGCTTCTGAAAGTCATTTGGAATGTAAAGGTATTCAGTAAAACATTTCAGGAAGAGATGTTTAAATGTTTATTTATAGCATTTTCTTTAAGTGTGAAGATTGCCTTATGAATTGTGATTGTATAAACTAAATACAATCTTTTTATAAAAATACATTTTTTTTAAAAAAAGACAACTTTTAAGACAACACAATTAACTTTTATTTAATTTAAAAACATTGTAAAGCTTAATTAAAATAATTGACTTCAAAGTTTTGATACCTTCAAGTATTTCTAGGAAAACCTCCCAGTTACTTGAAATATTAATATCTTCTTCATAGACATGATAATCCAGAAACACAGTCCCTGGGTTTTTCCAAGTCTTCTTTCTTAGGCGGAATCTATTGGAAAAACAAAACAGTAGTTGAAGGTGTTAGCATATGTTTATATACTAACGTATAAAATCTAGTCACAACCAGATTTAATTTAGATATAGTGCGTTCCCAAAATAGTCACAGGACATGTTTTTATCAGAAGAACCCAAGAAGCCAGAGCCAAAAGCAGCAAATTAAAATGTTCAGTCAGGTCCCTTCATTTTATAATGGCAAAAAAAACCCAAAACAATTTTGTCTTAGAAAATCTATAAAGTATTGGTTGTTCAAAACTAAAAGATTACTACCATGTGCTACATATTAGAAAGTGTAAATAAATGCTGGTTCATTTCAGCTATGAAACAAAACACAGTAATAAAACAATAAAACAAAAAATAAGTATAATGATTTATTTGTAGCAAAAGTCCAAAAGAAAATAAATGTATGACTATTTTTTTCAAACATAAGGTCAACAGTTCTTGTCTTAGAATCTTTTTCAATTGTCAAAATAAGAATTTTGAGATTCATTTTAATGATGTTTACCTGTCGATAGTCAAATTCAGCCCACATTGCTCCCTGAGCTGAGGAAGTAACTCCTCTTTTGATTGCCGCACAGTCATTCCCTTAGCAAAAACTGAATCTATAAGAAACTTGCAGGGCTGTGAAAACACATTTTAAATAGATAACTTGTTAGAAAGCTTTCATATTCTCTACTTTCTCTATGCACAAAATATATCAACAGATTTTTTTTTGCCTGACAGCAGCAGTGAATTCTGTGCTGTCCATGTGCGCTTGGAGGGAAAAAAGGAAGATACGTACAATAGTGTATCAGGACACAAAAAAGGAAGTAAGTATGGATTACTTATAAATCCGCTCATTAGAGACCATCTAGGTAAAGATAGGACAGCACATAAAATATAACACTATACTATACTATACTATACTATACTATACTATACTATACTATACTATACAATACAATACAATACTATAACTATACTACACTACAATATATAATAATATAAATAAAATATATTTGCATTTTCAAAGGTCTTCTAGAAAAAAAAACCTTGTTTTAATTATTTCATTATTCTCTGAAAGGTGCTGAGACTGGGGAAGGCATTCTTTTCTTTAGGTAAACTGTTTCAAAAGAGGGGAGCATCCACCAAGAGTGCCTACCTCTGCATGCCCTGGCATCACATTTTAAGAGGTACTTCCTATTTATCCAGACTGAGGGGCTAGTATATACTTTATATTAGTGCTCTCTAAAATACCCAGGTATTAAGCCATTTAAGGCTTCCAGGTAATCAGAAAAGTCTTAAATTGTCCTCAAAAACAGAATGTATCAGGTTGAAGTTTTCAGGTGTTCTTCAAGGACAATCCCATGTACAGCATATCTCAGAAATACAGGCATGACATGAAATAGGCAAGAATATCTATTCAAAGTATCTTGTTCTAAGTAAGGCCACAACTGTTGCACCAGTCAAAAAGTCATTCTGGCCACAGACACTGGTTTGGTGGCTTTACTGGTTTAGAATTTAGCAATCAAAGAAGCTTCTAATTTTAATTATGGCTTGTCTAAGAAGGAGTAAATAGGTTTCTATATAGATAAAAACTTACACAAAATATTTTATGTGCCAATATTATATATTAAATTTTATTAATAGTGCATCTCAACCTTCCACTAAAGGCTCAATGCTCCTGTGCATCAGACATATATGTCGAAGATTCTTTATAACAATGAAAAGAAACTGAATATTATTATTTTGTGTAGCTAGAAAATATTAACAGGGAAGACCTGGTACTTAAACCAGATACTGAAAAAAACCTGATAGCCTGGATGCTTTATGATTCAAGTAACTGCAACTTCCCTTCTTTAAAATACATCTTATTCTGATAATTTAGCTAAAAATAATTATTTATTTTGCATATATTTTATTCTAGCAACCAGTTTTATGTTTGAATTCATGGAAACACATAAACCCTATATTTTTTTAACTTAAAAATGCTTTCCAATTATTGCTTTAATTAATATTTCACTCCTATTCTCGCCCACATAATTCTTTAAATATCCCCACAAGGAAGTGGAGAGTCTTTAACCGGAATATCAGAATATCATCCTTATGCAAGGCTAACAGAAGTCAGATGAAAATGGGATATTCCTTACTTTTATTACAGTTGTTGGAAGTTTCTTTTGGCAACTCAAACAACAGTTTTCTGCTATTCTAAAGAGTCATGTCCCATCAGAACAACATGTATACATATTGGAAAAAATGTGAATTAGAGCATAAGAGTATATTTCCCAGAGAATCTATTTTGTTAACTGCTTCTAAAACTTGCTAGTAATATGATGCCCATATTGGAGCTGCACAGCTTTTGCTAAAGCTTACTTTTCAGCTATTGATTACATCGGATGTAGGAGGTTCACTTTTTAATAGTTATGTTGTTCAAGATGTTTTAGGAGTTTCACATCTTACTTACCTCTGGATCATTCACCAAAAGTTGGTAAACCTTGACTCTGTATTCCCCTTTCTTAAGTGCTCTTCCAAACCTGATAGTTATCTTTAAATTAAAAAGAAAAAATAAAAAGCTTGCAAGATATTACCTGTCTCTTATCCTCAACACAGAATGCCGGCAGTTAAGCAACCATTAAATGTTTGTGTCTGTGTCAATGTAATGCACTTCAAAATTCAAACATCGAATTTGAGAAAACTGGATGCCTTTATGGATAAGCATCTCAGAAATTGTGAGCATAAGCATTTTACACTTGTGTTCCTATAAAAATATTGGATTACTCTTGAATGAAAACTTTATAGGGAAAAGAATGAAATGCAGGCAGGCATTAACTAAATTCATGCAATATTGATTACTTTTAACCACCTTCCTACCATCCTTCTATAATTTCACAATCTCCTAAAGTTTCTTTATTGTCAAGAGACCCAGTGGAAGGTGAATAACAGGGTGTGTATGTAGGTGAGAAACTATTGAAACTGTATTTTTGTTTGACTGGAAATGAAAAAAAAAAACTTAACACCTCCAGATTCAAATAGTTGGACAGCACGGCTGTGAAATAGATTTCAAAAGAGATAGTTCAAAATGCAGGGATTATTAAATCAGCATCTACTGGCCTCTCATTGATGTGGAATATGATATCTTTTTTTCATTATACATTCAACTTTCCATGATCCAACTATAATAATAAAGAACAGTCTGACAACCTGTTAGGTGAATCCTGCACAGTTTCAGTGTCTCATCTTCATGATTGCTATTTGTAATCCTACTGGCTTCCTTATTGATTTCGCTTGTCAGACACTGGCAGTGAAGATCACAAATGGTGATCATGGGACTGTGGGACAATGCAACTGTTGTAATTGTGAGCCAGTTACCGACTCCCCAAATCACAATCACATGACCATGGGGATGCTGTGATGGCCGCAACTAAAAGGACTCATCAGCATAAGTACCCTTGTTTAGCACCAATATGACTTTGAAAATCACTGAACAGTGGATATTAAATGAGGACTGCCTTGTATAGAAAATGTTAAGATATTGAGTTGAAGTAAGATTTTTAAAAAGATAAATACCTCCTCACTATATTAAAACCACAAAACATTCACTGGAAAAATAAGTGAGTCAATCATTACTTTCTAACTTCTTTCCGCTAGTATTCAATAGCATATTTTGCTAACCTTGTTATCATCTGAGAAGGAGGAAAGAGTCTCATTCAACCGGACACTCTCGAATTCTTGATTGCTGGCATAAATTCGAAAGACCTTAAACTGAGAAGATGGAACTCCAACAAATGGCTCCAAGAGTTGTTTGAAGGCAGAGAGTGTAATTCTTTTATCAACATGAATCAACAACCCTAAACCAAGAAAAAAAAAATTAACCTGAAAAACAAACTCGGTTCTTATAAGTCTACTGCTATTATGCCACTTGTATACCAATACAATTTGATTCATATTATTAATAGATAAGACAAATTCCTTTTTCTTCTTTAACTTCAAGTTATAAGACTTCAACTGATCAGAGAGTTATCACATCCATTAACAGTGTATTCTACAGTATGTAATTTCACATATAAGGAAATTGTACAGCAGGTGCTTGGGGCATATGTGAGATTATAAATAATAATTTATTTAGCTATACTACTAATATTTTAAAAAGGTCCATCTAATGAAAAAGTAGTATGTTTTAAAATTATGCATTACAGTTAAACTGCATCTTGAAATTGCCTTCTTTTTAACATTTAATTTATGCTCAATGCTGTTATACATTTTCAGAAAGCGTCATTTTTAGCAACTGCACATAGTGTATCACAGATGCACAATGGTTTTGTTAACAATTTATTGGCAAAAATCAATCTTCCCTAAAACAAATATATTGCCAAACTTTGAACAATTAACTATTCTTGCCTTAAAGTTTATTGATTTAGACTCTGTATTTCATTTAGTTCCCCAAAGTGGTATGTACAGAACTGCTTCTTCCTACATTTTTTACAGCTTCCTCTGCTTATTAAAAAAAAAATCAGATTTATTCTCTGATTGTGGATCAGATGGAAGCAGCAGCTTCCTTCTGGTAGTATTCCCCAAAGTTTTTCTAATCAATAGAGGAAGTCATAAATCAAAGCCTCAATATCACATTCTCTACCAATGAAGGAAAATGATGCAGGTTTCTTTTTCTTGAATTTAACTTGATTCTACTCCAATTCCTTAAATGCATGTGTATGTCTAATAGTATAGATAAGTCTTCAATGTATGTTATTAGTTCAACAACGTTACGATGGTGTTGAAAAAAGTGATTTTCATCTGCAACTTACATCCTGTCCTTGAAGTTACGATCATCACACCTTCCTCACAGTCACATGATCAAAACTTAGGTGTTTGGCAAGTACCTCACATTTACAATGGTTGCAGCACCCTGTGGTCATGTGATCATGATCTGTGACCTTCCCAGTCAGCTTCCAGCAAGTAAACTCAATGAGGGAAGCAGGATTTGTTTACTGACTGCATGATTCATTTAATATACAAATGATTCACTTAACAACCACATTATTTAATTAATAACTATCATTTAGTACCTTAAATTCGGGTCCCAGTCGTAGTAGTAAACTGAGAATTACCTACATCTAAGCATCTAGAACCATCTTTCATTTTTTGCAAACAAACACCAAGCCTGCATGTATAAACTTATTTCACGGGGATGTATACAACATATATAGACATAAATAAACAAACAAGCAATCTACATTTCTAGAAAAACAACTTGCACATTACCGTATTTCATACATACATTTCTGCCCCTCTCCTGAACCTTCTTCTGTGATGTAGGGCTCTGCCTTGAAGTACATAAACTGGGCTTCTGCCCTGCTTTTCCCACTTTCATCATATTCACTGTCGGTTCCAGAATCCTCTTCGGCCGTATCCCAAGTTTCCTTTTTCCCTTCGTTGGCTTTGGATCGCCTACTGCTTGTTATGCTGTGTGAATCAAGTCCGTTCGCCAAGGATATAGCAGTGTTATCGACATTGCATAACGTGTCACTGCTGTGGCTGGAACTAAGAATATCACTGTCCACTGAACTTGTGCTCCTGTCATTGTTCAAATCGGAATCTGACCGCTCCTCTGACTGGAAATTATCTGTGTCAGAAACCTGTATTTGGTTTTCAAGTTCCTGGTTTTCTGTTGATGCTGATGAATCTGCCTCATTGGAAGGCGATTCGATATTTTCAAAGTCACTGGCCTCTGTACTCCTGCTGCTGTCGCCATTATCTCCTTCCTGCTGCTGTTGCTGTAAGGACAAGGTTTTAAGTTTTTCAGTGCTCTCTTCTAGGATAGCTTCTACAGATTTTGTATTAGGTAAAGATCCTTTCCCTGCTTCACAATTTGCATCTAAATTGCCTGAATCTCCACTCGCCTTTTGAAATATTGTCCTTCTGAACAGTGATCCAGGAGACTGTTCCGGCAATGAAACATACAGTCTGATTGTATTTGCATGGCGATCTAGGAGTTTCCATAACTGTGAATCTGTAAATGGCAGCTGTCTATCTTGAGAATCTGAACTTTCAACAAATACCTAAAATGTAAAAAAAAGTAAATCCGCGAGGAAAAATCTTAACCTCTTACAGAAACTATTCTTAGCGTATAAACTACAGATAAATGTGATTTCTCTGGAAATCAAGAAATTCCTATTAAACAAATAAATTACATTAACTTTATTGTCTCTCTGACATAGTAAATGTATTATTGGAAATTATTTTGTAAAAGCATTTTGTTATGTTTCTGCAGAAAAACCTGAGATTAATACAATATTTATATTTATACTTTGAAGGAAAAACTTAAGAAAAAATCTTACTTTATTGCTCCTAAAAAAGCCTTCAGCTTTAAGTGTTTTGTTAGCCACACTAAGAAGACGCAAATCATTATAGCAACGTTCCAAAACAACACGCATTGTTTCAGCAGGTAAATGTACAGCCTATGGTAACAGGAAAAGCAAGATCAAATGAGCGTTTTAATACTTTAAAGAAAAATTCAGAAAAAAAGAATAAGGTGCAAGTTATTTACCTTTGAAATGAGATACTTGAATTCTGTAACTGTTTGGTTCAAATAAGCACGGACACTAATTGGAGGAGCCACTGTGTCCTGTTTTAGGTCAACAACATGAACCTTTACCATGACTTCTGCCAAAATAATAAATATAAACCATGAAGAAGATAACACAAAATGGCAAAAAAAATTTAAAAAGAATACTTGTCCTATAAATACTGAATTTAAAGATTACTTACTATAAAATACATACTATAATGTACAATTATCAAAAATAATTACCACCAGGTTTGTAACATTGGAAAGACTGATCAGGTTGCCTGGTTTCCAGAAGAAGATCAAACATGTAGGTTGATTTAACACCACCAAGCAAGATTCCCATTGCAGTGTCATCTTCTCCTTCATAGGATCGTTCCAGATAATCATGGAACTCATCATATTTAACAAGACGACAGCAATTCAAAGGAACTGCTTCTTCTAAATCCATTATCTATAATGCATACAAAAGTGTTCAATCAAAACTGAAGAAAAACATTCTAATTTCAAGTTCTCCAGACATGTCTTGTTTGTTAACAGAAATAAAATTTCTTAGTTCTATATGCATGCCCACTGGTCTAAAAATACCACCACCATTATCTTTATTGTCCATTTATATGTGAACTCGCAAGATTCTTTGGCATGATTGCAACAAATGTAATACAAATGTAAATTTATTTCTTATATATGTATCCTCCCTTTCCTCTAGGAGCTCAAACACTAATCCAATACCTTTATTACGATACAACAATGAATTTATTATGGCTTTCAATTAATAAAGAATACTAACAGCAGCTACAATGAGATTAAATACTGAAAAATATTTATTTAGAATAGAATTTTAAAATTCTATTCTATTCTGTATTATACAGCATGTGTGTGTGTATTCTATAATAGAAAGATAATTCTATTCTATTCTAGAAAATTCTAAAATAGAATTCTAAAAATATTTATTTAATTATTTTTATAACTGCCTATACTTGGCTCATAGCTCAAATAATCAATATCATTCTATTATTGTCCAATGCAAACAGAAAGCCAACAATAAACAGACAAATGACATCAAAGAACTCCATGTATACACTGAAGTTTCACATAGCCCTTGAGATCTTGATCAATTTAGTAATTACCCTGTAAAGTATTGTACCTTATAAGCTATCTCCACAGCTTCCTTCAGAGTCTTATCTTTATGAACTTCCAGTTTATTTTCCATCATTATTTGTTTTACTGGATGCATACAGAATAATTTTATCTGTAATTGCCATTGACAGAAAAAAAACCACATTGATTTTTCTATTTACTTGATAGCATATTGAATTATAATGTTTTGTGCATGAACATTTTTGTTAGAAAAGAGATATTCAACAATTAAAAGAAAAAAAGACCTTGAAAACATAATCATCTTACATGGTTTACATTTCAAAGACTCTTTCAAACCAACAAATTATATCTCACAGCTAATACTATATCAATGAATAAACAATGCACATGATTCTGTTCAAAAGGTGACATGAAGAAATGAAACACAGTATTAGATTAGCAAAATTCCAGAATATGTATTACGTTATTCTACCTAGGTTCTAAAAATATGTATTCTCCACCCAGTTTAGAATTAACCTTGATTAATAAACAATTTTCTCCATCTATCAATATGTATAAAATCATCTGCTCATCTTGCTCTAAGCAAACATTTGATGTGGAATGTGCCAAAACATACCTTGCAAGTATTGCGTTCTATTTCACGCTGTCTCTTTTCTTGTTCTTCCAGTTCTTTTTCCTTTTCTACTAATCGTTTAATATGCTCTGGATATTCATTGATTTCTAAGAACTCTATCAATGCAATAAGAATGTGAGAATTTTTTTTAAAAAATCCTTGGTTTTGCAGTATTTTGTTATTTTGTAAGCTAATCTTACTTTAAATTACACATACAACTTTAGCCTGAACTGTGGACCACTACCACGCTACGGCTGGTTGGGAAATGGGCCATCGAAGCAACATGCAACGTTTCATTTGTGAATGTGCAGCATTTAAGTTGCATGAGTAAAATCATTCCCCCTTTGCTGCCTCCACCATTGGTCTGTGGAACCAAAAAGTTTGGGGACCCCTGCCTTAAGGAATGCTGTCTAGGAGTACTTGTGAAATGGACCCCCTGCTAAAATGGACCCCCTTATTCCCTTTTATACACACACACACACACACACACACACACACACACACACTTATGCATAGTCTATATATATATTAAACTACTTATCTGTACAAATATGCACCTCACATATCAAATAACATCTTTAGCTCAGTGCATGAGATTTAGTAAACAAAACACTGCTTTA